AGTGGTTGTCAGCTTCAGAAGCAGTAACCACAGCAGTAGCAGTGGGAGAGTTAGTGGTGGTTGTAGTGATAGTGTCAGCGTCAGTGGCAGTAGCAGTGGAATTGGTGGTGGCAGTGGCAGTGGTGGGTTAGTGGTGGTAGTGGTAGTGGTAGCTTCCGTGGCAGTAGCAGTGGGAGTGTAAGTAGTATTTTCAGTGGCAGGGGCAAAAGCCACAGCGATAGCAGTGAGAGTGAAATTGGTGGTGGCAGGGGTAGTGTCAGTGACAGTAGTAGTAGCTTTGGTAGTGGTAATAGCAGTGGCAGTGTCAGTTGTAGTGGCAGTGGTAATGGTAGTAGTAATGACAGTGGTAGTGGTAGCAGCAGTGACACTATCCTGAATGTTAGTTTATTGGCAGTTGGAAGTGGCTGTGGCCTCAGTATTAGTAACTGTCACTGAACTGTAGCTAGAACAGGAGCAGGAAGAGGAGCAGTATGTAGAAGCAGATAATTTCTTCATCATACATAAATCGTGGGGTTTAATTAGGAGTTCAATTTCTCTGTTTATTCGTATGTATATTTTGATTTTCCTTTTCAATTTGGTTTATTTGACTGATTTACATTTAGATTTCTGGCTGACAAATTGTTAATTTCAAGTCTGTTAGTTTCTAAATATATGTATCTACTTTTGCAATGTATTAATTTAGTAAGACATTGAAGATTTTTAAAACCGAAAATATTGAATGATTGTAAAAATAGCAAAAACGTAAACAGATGAACAGAAAGTCGAGCAAGGGTAGTTGTTTCCTATGCTTTTACATCAGTATCTGAACTAGTTTCTAAAAAAAAAAAAAATTAAAAAAAACCGGAGATACTGGAAGGAAGCCAAAAGGCGCCTAAGATCGTACTTGATGCTGGCAATCCGTGATGCGTAGTCTAACCGCAACTGAAGCAAATTAACTTTCGTCAAACTACCACGACAAAAGAAAACTAGCCTTGTAAATAACCATAATGTTGTTCTCAATGCAAGCGCCTCGAGCTAACCTTGTTCAACAATTAAAGGAGCCTTGAATTAGTGCCAGGATTTAATATGAAGAAGTAGGTTTGATTTTCCGATAATAAATTGGATTGCTGAAAAAGAAAAAGGTTCAAAGTTGGCTTATGGCGCGAAGTGCTGAAAAAATTCCTTCAGATGAAAGGATCTGTATGTTGTGAATGGTAATTTCTGGAGACCCTCGTTGAGTATTGTGAAAACCGTTTAATAAATCTGCCCCACGCGCTTTCAAGAGACTCGTACGGGCACGGCACTTCAATTTGCTGCAGAATGGAACTTAAGACAGATATTTGCATGGAAAATTGAGCAGAATTCTTGATTTTTTGAAAAGTCCAAAAATATTCAATACACAGCTTCCGCTTTGCGTTTTGACTTTAAACGATTATCATAATAAAAGTAACCGGTTGTTTTTGTTGAAATGCGCACATTTAACTACTCGATGGTTACCAGTAGTTACCGGTATACGAGTGAAATGCTTGTTTCGATCAGAGCTAATTGTAAAGAGTTAAAACAAATCAAAACATACCCAAGTTCCAAGCTGAAGCATGAGATGGCAAAGCTCATCTGCCAATGCTAAACACATCTTCATGGCTTCTTCCTGCTCTTCTGGTCTTTCTTCGGAGAAGGATGAAGATACGGCAATTATCTCTCCTCCAACTGC